GGGTCCAGAGGAGGCCACAAAGATGATCAGAGGGATGGAACACCTCTCCTATGAGGAAGGGCTGAGGGAGTTGGGTCTGTTCAGCCTGGAGAAGAGAAGGCACCAGTGAGACCTTATTGCGGCCTTTCAGTACTTAAAGGGGGCTTACAGGAAAGATGGGGACAATCTTTTTAGCAAGGCCTGTTGCGATAGGACAAGGAGTAATGTCTTTAAACTAAGGGAGGGTAGATTTAGACTATATACAGGCAAGAAATTTTTTGCCATGTGGGTGGTGAAACACTGGAACAGATTGCCCAGAGAGGGAGCGGAGGACCCATCCCTGGAAACATTCAAACCCTGGTTGGACGGGCGTCTGAGCAACCTGGTCTAGTTGAAGATGTCCCTGCTCACTGCAGGGGCGTTGGATTAGCTGACCTCTAAAGGTTCCTTCCAACCCAAAGCATTCCATGATTCTGTGATTCTGTGATTCTATGATATGCCACACTCTATAAAATGCAAGAACATCTCTCATGTATGGAGAAATGAATCATTTCCAGAGAAAGAAGTTAAAATTATAATTCAATCAAGACAATTCTGTTCTGTGTTTTCAGGCAGGAAGTGCACTGTCTTAAGGACATTTGAAACTCATCTGCAATTACAAAGTCATCATTCCTTTATACAAATAATACAACAATTAAGAAATGCAAACAGTTAACAGAATAAAAGAGGTTAAAATATCTTTTTCATTCAAAACAGATTCTGATTATTTCCTGACAGAAAGTTGTCCTGATACAATGCATTATTGGCTAGTCTCACTCTTGAGACTATTGTTGATGGACTAAGCTCCAATAGCTGGAGGTGGGTAGGTACACTCCCCACTAATTGCTATTCCGAGTTGTTCAGGTGTCCATTTTTGAAACAAAGAAAAGCGTCATTTGCCTGATGCAATATGTAAAGCGATCTTTCTGCTGTGCAAAGCCTGTATTTCTTTCCTCATCAGTAGAGAACTTCAGAGACCAAATCATATACTGCGGAAAATATTTGAAGGTTCAGCTTTAGAAAAGGAAGAAACAAGAACACAGTTTTGTGTTTCTCAATGCCTTTTTACAGACTTCCTGCTTTCCTGGACATTTAACAGTCTGTAACAGATAGAGCATACAGTTTCCTGAGTATGTATTCACTGGGAATGGCTAGTTAATCTTAATTTCCAAGATCAAGACCCTAAGCACAACACTTTGATATACAAGACTGTCAAATACACCAGAAAGCTGCTGCAGTGCCCAAAGAGAGAGCAGAGGCTGCAGCTGAGCAAGCGGGAAAGCCGGGGCTTGTTCTTTCTGAACGGCACCTCCACAGATCACAGTCCCATCTTCCCTGTTCTTTTCTGAATGGCAAAGGAGCCTGCCTGACTGCGGATGCTAAACCACCTGCACTGTTACAAATTATTTGTTTTCCATTGGGTCTATAGGACATCCTTTTTTCCTGGTGCCCTGTTAGTACCTTTGAAGCTTTGTTTTGATAGTAATAGAAATTTATTTTAGTTCTTCTTTTGAAATATGGATAAAACGGTTCATACAAACACATACTCAGCAAATGGACTGATGTTCTAATTAATGAATTATCCATTCAGTGCTACAATAATTCACTTTATCTCTAACCATTCCCAGTGAATTATTCATACAGTGGCATTTCTTTTTTAGCAAACTGGCATTTGCATCACTTTTACATTATTATTCTCATTATTAATTATACTTTTAATAATTCTTCAGTGCTTAGTCTCATCAATAACCAAAAATGGATGGTGCCCATGAAGCGTTTAGCCTTATCTTAATTCTATATCCCTAACACCATTGCCAATAGCACAAGAGTAAATACATAATACTTTAACTGACAGTTCTTTCCTTTTGTGTATTCCCTTGTCTCCTTTTTCCTCCTGTATGCCAGTATCCCTGAGTTTGTTCTGTAAAAGCAAAGGATGTTTCCCTACTAATGACTATTTAAATAACAGAATTACCTTGCTACTGTATGTGCTTCTTTCTGTCCCAGACAATGACTATGAATTAATTACCATTAGAATGCTGGAAATTTCTATGCATTTTAATGTTTTATTTGAAACATTCTGTGTGCATTATTGAATGATTTTACACCTCCTAATGCAAAACTGATAATATCTCTACAAACCTCTGGAGGAGTGTGTGAGGTCATTAAAGTTACATTTGCAAAAAAAATATATGGATTTCTCCCTCACATTATTCTTTCCTGTGCTGATAATGCTATTTTTGAGCTCTTGTTCAGAGTGGCCTATTTGTATTGAAAGATTCTCTTATGCATTATCCTATTCATCTGCCTTTCCAAACTGTTCATTTCATAAGGGAAATGAACTGTGTTTTTTTCTTAAAATATTCCTACAGGAAAATGAGAACACACGTTTTCAGCTGTTAGTGTTGTCTCCAGAGATAACGGTCACTGAAAGGCAGCCCAGCATGAAAAGCAAATATATAAGTCAGAAATTAAAACAACAATTCATACCATATCTCCTTCCTGTCTTCATTGCTGATAATTTATTCTCTCCGTGAGGGAGGATTCCAGAAGTAATCTTGGTATTTTGGCATCCAGGCGTCGGTGTGGGAAGAAAAATGATGATGTCTTAGTAAAAATCCTCCCTGAAATCCTAAGTTTGTTCTATATTTCTCCTGATTGTTTATTATTATTTTTATTTTTAAAACAAAGGGTTTTTAAATTCATGGATTCATGGGAGCTCATAACATATTTATCACCCTGCCAGTGACTGAGGAAAAAACACAGGCAAACACAATCCCTCCTGAAAGCAAGGAGTCCCTCTGTGCTACTTACTGAGCAAAATCTTAGTGTGTTAAGCCAGGTGGATTGCTTAAATACATTTTATCCTTCAGAAAACCTACATTTTTCTGTTTCAAAACAAACTTTTTTCCCAAAAGTGAATAGCAACATGTATTTAAGCTTAAATTTACCACCGTGTATTAAAAAAAATTTGCATAAAATTTATAATATTTAAGTAATATATTCTTGATGATTAGGTTCTAAAGAAAGTTATTGAACAGGGAAGACAAATACTGTCAATGCATCTAGAACCAAAGGTTGTTGAAATGATTAAACAGCTTTTAACAGAAGACAAAAGAAATGTTTTCTTCATTTCAGTTTAATTTCCTTCAATAACTAGTTCAAAGTTAAGGAACTGTTTAGAAGTCGAGTAAGCTGAAGCATCATTATCTTTAAATGGTCTATGAATAAATTCTCAGCCTGGGATGCTGACACTTATGAATTCATTCATTGTCTGTATATAAGATTTGCTTTGGTAATAAACCAGCTTAAAGTGTAAAATCTTTTGATAACATTATTTGTCTGTATACAACATTTATTGCAATTTTATTTAAGTAATAAGTACACTTAAAAGGCTGGATTTTTGCATTTCAATTGAATTCCCATTTCCATCCAATGCAGCTTGATATGAGTTGTAAGTAAATAAAAACTAATAATCTAGGAAAGAAGAATTATCATTCATTTCTAACAGAATGCTATGTAAGTGTTAAGCATTTGAATAATTATGCTGAATGATATCACTGCTTAATGAGAATGTAAGGTATTTTTCTGGTAGTGCTTGGAAGTAACAGATCAGTTTAAAAATTAGATTCAGTTGCAAAGCAACTTCTTTTTAAGTTTACCTACCAACCACAATCAAACTCGCTTGAGGAAAAAGGAAATATACATGTTCAAAGTAAGCAGAAAGGGGGGTTTAATATTTTTTTTTTACTATTTTTGTATTTTCAGTGAATAGGAACTATTTTCACAAAAATAATGTTTGAAAATCTCATGAGAAATAATTTTATACTGAATTCTTTTTGTGAGAAGTATTTGACAGGTTTTCCAGAAATACTATAGCTCAGGGTATTAAAAATAGGCAGTTCTGTGGTGTATGGGAGACAGAATGGCTATACGAACATTATGTCATGACTCCCTCCTTTAGAAGCATCTATACTCATCTATACTTTTAATTCAGTAGAAAATTCCAACAGTTCTAAAATTAATTTCATTTCCAGCTGGAAGAAAATTAAGTTTTGCCATTTTCTACTTCTTAAAATTCTGTTTAAAAGTGATGGAAACATCAAAATGGGCAACATTTTTTCCCTCAGCAAGAGTAAGGCAGATATTTTAAACTTTGGTGTACCAAGAGTTACAGTAATTTATTTCAAAAATGTGGATTTATGCTCGCATTGTTATTGATTTTTTTTTACATGTATATGATGCTGGCATTTTAATTAGAGAGACTTGGGAGCTTTATATTGACCTTCTTTAATGACTTATCAAAACCAGAAAAATTCATATTTTTTAAAAGAGTAATCGCGGCAGATCTTGTTAAATCGCACAGCTGACAGAGACATCTATTCCCAACTTGCTCGAAGTCGTGAATTAATGAATTTGTTCCAAACATAAAACTGCTAAAGCAGCGTTTCAGAGTGTAGTTTGCTAACTGCTCTTGTTCGTCTGTATCCTACACGCCAGTGTGCTTATAAGGGGAATGAAATCCCAGCAGCAGAGGTCCATTTCTCAGCGCTGGCTGAGCTAGAGGAGAAGTAAGAGATTTTATGATGTGAGTGGTGAAGAGCGTATTTAAAGCAGCAAGGATCTCACCGTTTTCAGCTAAGTGCTGATACACTAATTATGCCTTAACAGCGTCTCCTTTTTCCTCCTAGGTCTTACTGCTGCAGCATCTCTTGTGTCCCTGGCTTGGGCTTTGGCTTCCTACCAAAAGGCCCTCCGTGACTCCCGTGATGACAAGAAACCCATCAGTTACATGGCTGTTATAATCCAGTTTTGCTGGCATTTCTTCACAATTGCAGCAAGGGTCATTACTTTTGCTCTGTTTGCCTCAGTTTTCCAGCTGTACTTTGGGATCTTCATCGTGCTGCACTGGTGCATCATGACCTTCTGGATCGTCCACTGCGAGACAGAGTTTTGTATCACTAAATGGGAGGAGATAGTTTTCGACATGGTTGTTGGGATAATCTATATCTTCAGCTGGTTCAATGTCAAGGAAGGAAGGACACGCTGTAGGCTTTTCATTTACTATTTTGTGATCCTTTTAGAAAACACCGCCTTGAGTGCTCTCTGGTATCTGTACAAGGCCCCACCAATCTCTGATGCATTTGCCATACCAGCACTGTGTGTAGTGTTCAGCAGCTTTTTAACAGGCATTGTTTTTATGTTAATGTACTATGCCTTCTTTCACCCCAACGGACCAAGGTTTGGGCAGTCACCAAGCTGTGCTTGTGAGGACCCCGCCGCTGCCTTCACCCTACCCCCAGAGGTGGCAACAAACACTCTACGGTCCATCTCCAACAACCGGAGTGTCACAAGCGAGCGGGATCAAAAATTCGCGGAGAGGGATGGATGTGTGCCTGTGTTTCAGGTGAGACCCACCGCACCATCCACGCCTTCGTCCCGGCCACCAAGGATTGAGGAATCTGTCATTAAAATCGATCTGTTCAGGAACAGGTACCCAGCGTGGGAGAGACACGTGTTGGACAGGAGCCTGAGGAAGGCGATCCTAGCGTTTGAATGTTCCCCTGCTCCTCCACGGCTACAGTATAAAGATGATGCCCTTATCCAGGAGCGCTTGGAATATGAAACCACATTGTAAACAAAATAAAAACATGGCTTGAAGAAGCTCCGACGTTACAGTCCAAATTAAGGGTTGACAGTAGGGCTTTAGGAATAACTAAACTGCTTACTACAAGTAGAGCAGCGAGCTGTAGTGTTCTTAGTCTGGCTATCATCATGATTATCATTTGATCCACTGTGTGCAGTCTGTCTGCAGGACACTGATACAGCAGCGTCACCTGAGAGCCTCAAAAAACCCCAAACCCTGACCCACACATACAGATCGGTTACTTCAGCTGGGGAAACTCACCCACGACTCCTTGCTGCTATGAAACTCTGACTGCACAGTACTTACAACCAATAGGAAGGCTCTGACTAGAGCTTTCAACTTTAGCCAGTAGTGCATTTTATTTCAGAAATGAATGATTGATATTTGTATAATCAATTGTAAAAAAACAGCAAAAAAAACCTTTTCAAAGATAACAAAATTGTAGCACTCAACGTTGCTGTTATGAAAACTTTTCTAGGGAAAAAATAGGAGCATAGTAGTCTTCAGCACTCCCATAGAACAACCATTCAGGTTAGCATAGGCTTGCAAAATAGTTCTTAATTAAAAAGATACATCGTCTTGTTTGTAAGGCTGTCAATGGAAAATAAACTAAATTCTGATTAATTAGGTCATAAACATTAATACTACCAGAACTGTTTGTTTTCTGTGGAATTTCAAAGTCTTTTAAAATTCAATTTAAGTTCTTTATGTTACTTTCAACAAAAATTCTGTGTAGCTCACTTCTGGTTTTGAGGAGAAAGAAGGAGCTCTAGCACGTAGTGATGTAAATTAAATGATAATCATGATTCACTGTTCAATTTGCAAAAAAAAAAAATTATATATATATGTGTAAAAGAACAGGGAAGTATAGTTTCGTATTCTAAACATTTTGGAGGACCCCATTCAGATATTTCGGAAGAAACTACGAGGAGATGAACACACTGAAACTTCTCTGTGTCAGGACTGAGAATGCATGATTCAGTGTGTGAATGTATGCAGGGGTGACAAGAGACTGTGACATGCCATACCCTTCTAGTGCCAAACATTGTACAACTGCGAGGTTGATATTGCCTGAGGGACAGATATCAAGTGGCATGAGCACTACCAAGAAGCAGGAAAGACCAATCAAGTTCTCAACGTGTAGAGACAGCTCTGATTTTTCCTACCCAAAGTGAAAATGATGTCTTTTAAAGGCTTTCAGCCACCTCTTAGTAAGTATATTCACTGGAGTATAAGATAACCAAGTTACGTGAAAGACCCTCTTCTGCTTGCTCAAGACTTGTGTCCAGATGCATCTAAAAATTACTTCGAATCTCTTGTAACAGAGTGCTTTTGCTGCAAGCTTTTAGGTTTTAAATACCTCCCTAAATCTAGTCAATGGTATCCTCCTTTATGTTAAAAGTATCCCCTGATGGTGCTTTCAGATGCATTAAAGGTGCACGTCAAAATTTGATAGTATTTTTTTTAAAGCTGGTGCAGAGTGAAAAACTCATGAATTATTTCAATATTTTTGTAAAGTAAAAATATGGTATAAAAAGGTTACTTTTTATAAAGCTCAAATCTTTTAATACATTTCATTCTCTTTATAGCTTAGATTTTAAGAATCGGTCCATGAATTTTATCAACTAGCTTCTGCAGGTTGATGTAAACCTGGGTTTCACACATTATGGATTTGTTTTGCAGTGTAATGCCATATGAAAGCCTACACGGGTACTTTTAGAATACTCCATAAACCGTGGATCCTGTTTCAAATGTAAGTGGCTTGTAAAGACACCAAGCGATTCCATAAGAAACAATTCGCTATAACTCTTTCCATCCGTTCTAGGAGAGCGAAGCAGAACTGAAGAGTTACTGTTGTAAATGGCATTGTCAGGATGGAGAAGACCTGATGACTGGTCTTGTAACCTTCACTGTCAGGTATATCCAGAGTAGTCACTGCTGTATATGCTGCTGGGTAAATTTCAGTCTTTCCTGTAACTAATATTTGTATTATGAAATGGCCAAGGTTATGCAGCCTATGTTTATTTGTATGCATTCAATTAGCCATTTTTAATGTTGACTTTTTTTATTAGTGAAATGTTCGATACCTGTTGTTCTCTCCGGGGGCGAGTTCCTCAAAACAAAACATCTGTGGAAGTGCAGGGATCTGCAAGGCAGAGGGAACTTTACAGATCAGAAAAAACCCGTGCTTCAAGGGTTTTCTTAGGTATTTTCAAAGTAAACAGTGGCCAGCTGCCCCTATAACAATTTTTTTAAATAAAACTGTTTGATAGTCGAAACCTGAAGCTTTGTACTAAGTGATTGCCCTTCCCTCCATGGAGATATAGCAGCTTATTCAGAGAAAACCACTCATATTTTACCAGAAAATATACCACTGCAAGAGCTGCTAAAAAAAGATTTGGGGAGCAAGTCCTTTGTAGAGCCTTCATTCCAGAATCAAATGCCGGGTCGCACAAGGAAATTGCCGCTTTTCTTTACAAACAAGGCAGATGGTAAGCTTTGTAATCCAGGATATGAGGGGTTTCTTTCGGAAACAGTTCAATGTGTTTGCTGGTTCTCTAACAACTCAGAAATTCTGGCATTAGCGAGGCACAGCGGGCAGCGCCCCGGAGCTCTCCCCTCCCACCAGCACCTCCTGGGGACCGGGGCGGCATGGCGGCTGTCAGCGAGGCTTGCCCGCTTCTGATGGCCCTCTCATCCTGTCTCACTCTTCCTCGGGGCTGTGAGCCCTGTGTTCGGGGCTTACGGAAGTGGAGGAACGTTGCTTCGTACAAAATTTAAAGAGTTATGGTCTGGACCAGTGCTTGCATTGCAAGGTTTCTGAAGAAGGTTTGGGGTGAGTTTGTATGATTTGCTCTTGTTTGGTTTTGGAAGGAAGGAGACAGAGGTGTTATTTATGCATATGGGCTTTAATATCTAGCATTTGCTTTCTTTACTCTCCCGGCATTTTTTCTTTTTTTTAATAATGTTCATAAATTCGTCTTAAGCAAACTGCTGCAGGGTCTGAGTGCACAGCACCATGCATGGCAGTATGTACACACAGCTGGTCTTCAGAATTCAGACCCCCTGTTTGCAAAAGGGGGCAAAGTCATCTTACACGCAGTCAAAATTTGCTCTCCCAGAATCTTGCTCTGTTACGTTCATAACGTCAGTGATGCTTGCACTGAGAACAGGATGGCCATTGAAATCCTAACACTCAGATGACTACACAGACAGTATCTTAATTTGCATTGCTGTGAACAGTTGCATTAAAAGCTGTAATAATTTTTTATAGAAGTTGTCAATATTAAACACAGTCCACAATGAAATCCCATGATGGCCTTATGGACAGTTAATAATCAATATGCACTATTCTTCTTACCACAGACAGTTTTAAAACCAATAAAGTTCAGTTAAGACAGCAATAGCAAAAAAATTAAAAAAAGAATTGCAAAAAAAACACCTTCTACTTTTGAAATAATGAAAAAATCAGGTCTTTTAAATTTCATTCCAGAATATAGGAAACTAAAAAGTTCAGAATTATATTCTGGTAAAGAAAAACAATCACATTTCTTTGTTAGAAGTAACAAGTATGTAAGCATTGTTTTAATGAACCAAACAAATTTGCCAGCTGATTTAATGGTAAATTATCTGGTTAGAGACTTGGTCCTAGAATTTTGAGTTGTGAATTTGTACATTATAGAAAAGACATTTTAATTAGTATTTACTATTCAAATTAAAGGAGAGATAATGTTCATTCAGAAGACATATAAGAAAATGTAAGATAAGCCTTTTATCTTATTTTAAAAGTTATTTGTTCTATAATAGGGTAATCCTTTTTTTAAAAAATGAATTCTTTGTAAATATGTGCAATATTTTTTTCCTGCACATTTAATGACGCAAAAACTCATTTCCACCTCTGTTTACGGTCAGTTTAGACATGCTTTTTGTGCTAGAACAATGTTTCTGTGCTTGGGTTATATGGACTTGAGGTACATAAAAACTCTTTTCATTGGCAAATCAACAAATTTTCTACTAATTAATTTCTATAACATTGGAGAAAATTTCCCTTCCCAAATTAAATGCTAGGCCTCAGCTGCCTGATTTTGTAAACTTTTAAGCAGAGGAGGTAAATTAAAGTTTTATTTGAGCTGCAATTCTTAGTACGTGTTGAATCACTAATAGCTATTAAACCCAAATTTGTTTAAAACGTGATAGTCTAGCCAATATATCATTAACTCCCCAAAAGAGCAATTAATGAGTGGTACTAAAAGTATGAGTGCTGCTTTATTTGGAAAGGCACTCCCAATCACATAATATATTCATTTACTTTTTATTGGCCAGCAAATATTCCAACTAGCCTGTTGATTTTTTTAGAACCCAGTTAAACAGTTTTGAAGTGTTTGTGATTTGATCATACAGCTCCTGAAGAGCCTTAAAGTCACGCTGTACCAAGTTTCAGTTGGCTCTGCCAGTGATTCAGCTCCCAAAGCCACTGCCCTTTCTCTGCTCCGTCCCTGAAGTCAAGTAATCTGGAGTGATTGGGATGCTGTGATTTGCTCTGCACCCTCTGCACTGCCTGCACAATGCCAAGGAAAAGACTTCAGCAGATTGCTGGGGTCATACTGCTGCCTCTCTTGCTCCTGTGCGTGGTGGGAAGCAGAGTAAATTGCATTTGTGCATCCACCTAAGCAAGCTTTTTCAGGTTGAGTCCCTACAAGGGGAGTGTAATGAAAATAGTCACAACACGTGTCCACGAATTTACAAGCCCAACACTGTAATTACTAATTCTGTAGAGTAACAATGCAGAACGTGGGAAGAATTGTCTAAATACACAATAAGCCACTTAATTTTGCTAATTGTAGCAATTAGAGTAGCTCGCATGCAGCCCATGCTCTCAGCAGAAAGTCAAATCGAGTAAGTGGCAAACAGCCTTTCATATACCGGAGACATTATGCTGTGAAACCCTCCCTTGATTGTTTGTAGAACTATGTCTTTTCATTATGGCATTG